CATACAATGGACTCCGGACAAGGTGCGTTCCTCTAAGTCTTCCTACCAATATGACCAAGTTGGGAAAACAAGTTCAAACAATTTCTAGAATGTTAGCTACTTGATATACCCTTGCGTAATTTTCCACGTCCACTTCCGATTGGACGATGAGGTGTCAAGCTTTGATCTCTGCACCAAACGATGTTGAGCCATGGCTACGTATGGGATGACAGAAAAACTAAGCATTAAATGGAAAAAATGGGGGGTAGGTCCCTACAATACTTTAGTTTGCAGCAGCCTGATCGGAAAAATGGGCCAACTTGCTTTTTTAAAGCTGGGCATGAATAGAGCAAGTTTCGTGTTTTCCTCAATCGCCCAAATGCCATTGTTGTTGGGGCCTTCATTTCGTATTAAAGTTTATCTGATCATCCATTATATGATGGACGAAAGCTCAGCCAGTTTTTGCCCTAAACGAGAGAGGATGTCTCATGAACTGCTTTAACCTGAACGTCGAATTTAAAGCCAATCAAACCTTAATCAGCCGTCGTCTTCTGGTGAATTCGATCTATGAACCTCTTCATCATACACTTTCTTACTGAATCAAAGTCTAAACAACAATTTTATCTCAGAAGATTCATCAAACCTCGTTTTCCTTGTGAATGAGAACACCTTTTGTGAGGAAGCGCTTACTCAAATGATTGTGGGAAAACTCATTATAAGTTTTTTATCACTTTATACTGCCGAGGCTGGATATATTTTTCATATAAGTTATGCTGATAGTATTAATACAGGTTTTTATTTACTTGACGTTATCTGAGTTATTTTATGTGGATATTTTATTGGTTAGTTTTCACAAATTATAGCTTCAAGATTGTCTCAAGAATACGCTGTACTCTGATGATGTTCATAACATCAAACGACAGCCAACCAAGGGAAACAGAATACCCTTTAAGAAATTTCATATATCCTCTACGTGGATTCATCAGATTCAGAAGACTATGATCCATTCACTCGTAGTTCTCTGTAAAATGTTTACTCAACAAAAGGTAATCTTTTTCTGCCTCCGAGTCTGTCCGCATTGAAATTGCAATTGTGAACAGTCCAAAAAAAGGTAAAATGACAATTTCGACGAAAGTTTGTGCCTTTCAGGCCAGCCCACATCGACTAACATGTGAAGCACCAAAGTCGAATGAGAAGGAATACTTTAGGCATTAGAAAAGCCCAATGATAAACTAATTTTGCCTCTCGATTTTACCCTTTTTAACTGGAAAGATGGAGGAGTCCTGCCAACCCACACGATTGCCATCCAGCATGTCTCCGGCAGTCTTCACTTTGACTCGCGTATCGAGCTCAAGTGTCTTCTTCAGCCCCCCAACAACAGCACCATCAAACAGTGGGTAGGACCACGCGGCGAAATTGTCTCCAACAATGAGCATCTTCTGATCGAGCGCTTTCGACCCTCGGACCAGGGAGCCTACACTTGCCGCATAATATTCCCTGGCCGACAGGCCCTTCAGCAGGTGAAGACGAGGGCGGCATAATCCGAGCCTTTAGCTCTATTCTAAAATTTGCATTTTTTTCCAATTATTTTCCTTTTCGTGGTTGGTAGGTCTCTAAACTACCAGAAGATCTCGAACAAGAGCTGTAATCATCTCTAGTCGCGTGAAGTGAGGAAGAGTGGACAATTTTATTCAGTTTTATGCGAACTATGGTGAATACAGCTCTACTGGTAATACAGAAACCTATTCACTACGAGTATGCGTAATGCGTGCCTTATCGTCAATCATAGTACAAGACTGTGATATGTGAAAAGCCCGACTTATTGTGACATGAATAAATTAAGAATGTAGTATTTAAATAGTTGCAAATGACTATCATAAGAGTGATCACGGCCTGCACCAAAATACCAATTAATTGCAATGTTTTCAAAGCTAACGAGATCCTGTAAACAGCGCAAACCTGGTCAATTTTAGTAGAGAAAAAGCCATTTCCAGGAATACTAACTTCAATTACTTTCTTATGTTTTCTATAGTAATCGACAACGTTACTTATATTCGTATTAAAGTAGGGTTTCGAGACTACCAGTAAATCAGTGTGATGAGGATGTATTCACCCTATTTCGTGTAAGGTGATGAAGGACTGGTAGTAGAATTTTCCCACAATCATATGAGTATGTATTCACCCTATTTCGTGTAAGGTGATGAAGGACTGGTAGTAGAATTTTCCCACAATGATATGAGTTTTCACCCTATTTCGTGTAAGGTGATGAAGGACTGGTAGTAGAATTTTCCCACAATGATATGAGTTGAGCTGGCCCCTATTTCGTGTAAGGTGATGAAGGACTGGTAGTAGAATTTTCCCACAATGATATGAGTTGAGCTGATCCCCTATTTCGTGTAAGGTGATGAAGGACTGGTAGTAGAATTTTCCCACAATGATATGAGTTTAGCTGACGTCTTCCATTGAATTTCACATAGCCTTGCTTTCCCAAAAGTTGTTCTCATTCCGGCTGGAGTGGACTGCAGTTTCGATCTCGCATTGGTCTTATCAACACCCCCAGCGGGAGTCGAACCGTGACAGTGCAGAATGGGAGCAAGATGGTAAGGTGTCTGGCCTTCCTTGAAATTCACTTATGT